TGGGACGTGCATGTTTGGAAGCAGTCAGTGTAGGGGCTTATCAGATGCAAAAAGAAAACAGAGAAAGATGAAGCCATTAAAACGAGTTAGAAACATGTTTGTGAGAGATGCACGCCTGTCACAGCTTGAATCAAAATGTGTTGGTCTTGCTAATAATCGCATACAGTAAGAATTATTTCCAGAATTACTGAATGAAATTGTGTCTTTAATTTTGAAATGAGAAGTGAGAACATCCTGATCACTTCTGTCTTTAAAACTGATGATCCGCAGGAGACCCACTGGGGTTTGTGAACTGCTTTTGAGGGCTCTAATAAAGATAACTGTGAGCCATCTCACAGTTGCCTGAAATTTGTTCTGCTTACATTTTTTGGCAGCCTACAAACTGGAAAAGATTAAAAACATGGGTTTTGTCAAGGCAATTCCATTTCTGCGATAATTATGATCATTTATCACCAACGTTTTAGATTTATTGCATAATTCACTTTAGATCCTGATCAAATTTTAGAAAGGTAAAATCATTGCTGTTCTAGACTCAATCTCCCCATGGATTCCATGATGGGACCTCAACTTTACTAATAATTTAAAACACTAATGGAAGAGAAACATAATAATGCTGTAATAATTAATTGTGAGCATCTACTGACAGTTACTTGAAAGCACCAACATTGACAAATCTATTAAAATAATTGGCAATATTTCTCTGAAGGGAAAATATGGACTAGCTACCTCATGCAAATGTCTCAGTAACACAGGCTTATACTCTATACATGTCCTTAAATTGTGTTGTGATTTAAAAATCTGTTTTCCGTTGTGCTTATATGTCTATATTCAGGAATTTTACTAAAACTTACAGAAGCAACTAAAAACAGAACTGTAATAAAACATGCAGAGCTACATCGTGGGCAAAGAAAATTATTCATGTGTTTTAACATCCAAGAATGTAATTAAATACTTCTTTTCATTTTCTGGTGAATAGTGGTAGAAAAATTAATGCAATCACAAATAACCAAAAAAATGACTAGAGTACAATACACATATTTTTGAAAAAGTAAACCCTACATTTGGTCAGGGACAGAGCAAAATGAAGAGAAATACTCAAAAGAATCTCCTAATGCAAATTAATAAATCTCTGTTTGGCAGACAGTTTAATGAGTCCTTTAGCCATAGCTTGATGATTAAGACTGTGTTGCGTTTGACACACAAATAGACAATATAAGCTCTTTGTTACTTCTGAATGTTACAGAATATCCCATGTAAAGTTATAGCATTTGATATTTTAATGCAGAATGAATTTCCTGAGATTCTAGAGCCAAATCTCTAAATAACTCAAATTAAGGTTAATTTTAAACAGACCTCTTAATCTTTTTATCTGGCATACCTTTTGTCACAAATGATTTAAAAATGTGAAACCTTCAACTTTCCATAATTAAAAACTGTCTGAATTTTTTAATTAGCCTAAGAAATAAGATTATAATTAAAATAATTTACTGACTTATCTTATAGCAACTCATCTTGATTCTAAGACAACATTGAAATCCAGTATGTCTGCTTTAGGCCGTAACGTGAAATTTAGGCAGAATTTAGAAGCCTAAATCCAGAAGGCAATTCAGGGTCTCATTCGCCAATGACTATGCAATACTTAAATGTGTATAACTCGGTAGGCAAAATTGTGCTCTGAGATTTTCTTGGTTGCCAGCATACAACCAAAGTGCTCTGTCTCCACTCTCTCTTGTGTGCTAACACCACAAGGGACTCACTCTCAAGGATTTGCTTTAGCATACTTATCACACATGGACAGCACAAAGCACAGGAGCCAAAGTCCTTCTTCCTCGCACTCAGAGTCCACCTCTTGTAGTCGCAGTGTCCTCTCAGCATGCAGGAACCCAGCCTCTCTCTTAACCTGAGAGAAGTCAAATCCACATCTTCTGATTTCCCAGTATGCTCTAACCACTAGATAATGGTGAAAGTCCTTCCATGCATGTCCTCATGGAACCGAGCCATTGGTGCTCTGTCACCAAGCAAAATCCCTAGTGCCAGGAGGAGAGCACTTGCTTCTGCAGTCTGGAAGTTTGGGCTGTGAGGTGGGAGGAATGAATCCTGGGATTTCTTCCCTGGGCTGCTCATTATAAATTTGTTTTGTTCATCATGCCATATTTTGCAGTGGAAAATATAGAACTTGTTTACCTGCTTCAATCCATTGCAGTTTCCAATGAATAGCTTTGGTAACTCCACATGCTTTTCTCTTGTGCGTCACTGTCTTTGACACTTCCGCTTTTCTTGTTTGCTCAGTAAGGACTCTGGATACCAAACAGAGGGATGGTGTTTCCACCAGATGGCAGGGCTGTTAAATGCTAGGTATTCAAATGCTATATGTTTTTGTGGGTCTAGCCCAAATGCTATGTTGCCCATGTCTGATTGACCATTGACTTTGAGTAGGAAAATGCTGGTCTACAGTTGGTACCATCTCTAGCCCTTCATGGTTGAAGTTGTTTGTTCAGTGTTCATTGAAAAGATCAGTAGTCCTAAAGTAATTACTTCCTACACACCTCATTCACCCTTCACAAAATACCCATTGGGGATATAGAATAATAATGAAGAAACATAGCTTGCTGTTTTACGTTGCACTTCATGTAAAATTATTCAGCAAATCTTTTCTATAATGAATATGTATAATAAATCTTTAGCTTGTCACAGGTCTAATCATGCATGGGAAAGAGAAAACATACCATGTTATTCAAATAGGTCTAATTAAATTAATTGATACGTTTAAAGCTCTGCCATTTCTTGTGCGTTTTCCCCCATTTCATTTCCACTGCATTTCCATCCCATGTCCTTCATCCAGGTTGAAATATAAACTTTTTCCAGCTTACTTACCAGGTCAATCTCATAATGAATAAAGATTTGGGATATTTTTCTATCCTTGTTTAAAAAATACAATAAAAGATGTACACTTACTTGTGGACTGGACCAACATTTGTCCACTATACACTGGAAAATGAGCTCTATAGTGAAACTGCTGACCCAACATTAATGTACAGCTTGCATAAGCAGGGTCAGGATAATAAAGCTTCTTCAGTGCCTATAAGCTATAAATAGGATGCATTTGTCAATTGCCTTGCCCAGGCAAATTGTACTCGCTTTTCACCCTGCACCTGTGTGCCTTTAGGTTTCTTAGAATAGCAGTGGCGCGGTTTCTATTCGAATACTTTGTCCATCTTTCAAAACTGAAAATTCCTCCGTACTTCATCAGAGTCATGCTATCAAACTTTTGTCACCTGAGCACATCCAATAACACAGAGTTTCAAAATATCTGTTTTCTTCTAAGTATACTTATCTACCAGTGTTCAGGCATGTCTTTGATTACTTATCTCTGAAACTCTTTCATATGAAACTCTTGCAATGACAGTCTAACACAGCTTGCTTTTTGTATGTTCCAGCACCTCTCTGAGAAGCGTGCCTAATGTTCATGAAATGCCTAAAATTTAGATGCAAATAAGGTGTCTAAATTGGGAAGACTGGAAGGTAGCAGGGTGAGGGCCATGGGCCATCAGCTGTTATGGTGGGTTTGGTTCATATTCCCACAGATAGGCCCCTTCTGCTACAGAAACCCTCGAGCGAATAACTCTTAGTACCGGCTCTAGGTGCTGCTGTACAGCATAGGTGCTAAGTAGGTCTTAAAGGATGGTGAGATGGACTTCGTAGCTTTGCCGACTTGTGCTGTCATGAGGGCTTCTAACTGACTTGAACGAAATAAATTACCATTGGAACAGAAAAGTTAAATGGGAAGGAACAGTTTCTTCTAGGCGGATTATGAATCTAATACAGAACTGTTTGGCTGCTTCAAGATGAATTTAAAAATAGTTTCAGGCCAACTGAAACTACATTTTAAGTTGTTAGTGTATTCTCTGGAGGAAGACAAGGGCCAGCCCCTGGTTCTAAGGATAACACCTATCTGTGACAAGTAGCATTACTAATTCTAAGCAGCAAAACAGGTTATAGTTTTTTGGTTATGGCTATTTGGGTATTTACATTTAGGGGCAAAACCTTGCTGCTCCTGCAGCTGCTATTTGCTCTGTGTAAAGGAGTATTTTGTGAGTATAACAGTATTATATGACAACAGTTTTAAGACCAAGTTGTTAGAAATATGGACTACTCATCACTGTAGGCAGTCTGTTTTGTGTGTTTCAGAGGATTGTGTTCATGTATCCTTTGCTGACATAGGGGAGTTTTTTCCATTTGTTTCATTTTTGGCACCTGCTTCATACAACTTCAGTTCCGTGACTTTCAGACGTGAGATTGAAATAAGGCAATTCTAAATCATTAATTTTCTTTACTTTCAGTGTAAAGAATGATAAATGGGGAGTGGGGGCAGTGAGGTAGGCACAAAGTTTTAAACTCTTTTGGAGGATAGGGTTGCTTCAAATTATTAACAGGTTGTTCGATCTGTTTTTTCAGCTGTAGTACAAATGAGAGCAGCTCTCCCTCAGCAAAAGTGTAGAACTTGAGTGCTTACCCACATGCATCTATTTATTTCTTTAATTGTAAATATTAGAATGGAAGCTCTCACAGCCACTCACCATCTAACGTGGCTAAGCCAGGGCACACTGTAGCAGTCTCAGGATTTCGGTTCTTCATCCTACTAGAATGTGTGGATAAGCTTATAATACTCCATGGTGCCCTTTACAAATAACGGATGGAGAGCAGAAGGTGGTTCCCTCCTCACATGGGGCTTGGCAGTATAAAACACCTCTCATGAGTTCAAGGGAAGGTTATTTTGCTGAAAGTCATTATTGTTTATACATCATTATACATGTCACTGAGTTCTTTACAAAGGAGAGAAGAAAACGAGACCTGAATCTGCCCTGCCCACACGTTTACAACCATGACAAAAGAGGCAGAGGATCCTGTATGAAGTGTCATTCAGCATGGACATTGCAGTTTTACACTGCCAGGAGAATTAACTTTATCCACCTTTTTTATTATTTCCTTCTCACTAACAGGTTATTCATCAGCTTAGACTTTCAGAGAATGAGAGTGTGGCTCTGCAAGAGCTTCTAGATTGGAGGAGAAAGCTGTGTGAAGAGAGAGAAGACTGGCAGCAAATCTTGCACAACACTGAGCAAAGAATCACAGCCCCACCTCCACCCCCTTGTAAAAAGCCAACGCTGCTGAAGAAGGTAGAAGATACCTCTTGCAACAGACTCTCTTCCGGCATATGGGATACCACCATGTGATTCAGATGCGTGTGTTTGCAGACTGTTAGGAATGAAACCATCTAATGACTTCAATCTGCACAATCAGCAAGTTTTCTTCCCTTCACAAAGCGTGCAGGAATTTTTTATAAGCACTCAACCAAGAGCACAGGATGGAGGAGCTGTTTAGATCTGTCGTGTGTGCGTGTACGTGTGTGTTTGTTCTTTTCATATATATACACATATACATATATGTGCACATCTGTGACTGTATATATGTGTGCATGTGCATATATATGGAGACAAACTGCACTATGAGTACTTAGTTTCAAAGTACAAGACGGTCACTTAGAGTTCTCCCATGGACAATGAAGAAACTATGTTAAGCAAATGATGATGGGGAGAAGCAGTTGACAGGCATTTTAAAGAGATCAGGAAAGTCTGTGTGCACACTGTACAGCTGTTTTATATAGTACAAAAATATGATGTTTCTTGTTCCCTAATGAATGGTTTTATTATATTACATGTATACATATATATATTTCTTTGTAGATGTCTGTGTTCTATTGGCGTTGCAAACCTGAAGATTATTTACATGTTTATTACTGGTGTTTTATAACTTTATGCAATTGGTGCTGTCGTTTCTTCAAAATACAGGTAATAAATTCAGTACTCGCATTTTTCTTTCATAGTTTATCTTTAACAACATACCAAACAGTTTCAACACTGTGGTTTTTTTTCAGAACTGGCAATATCCTTTCTAAAATCCAATCCTGAAGTTCTTGCAAAGCTCCTATATGCAGGTGTGATTTGATGCTGTTCACAGTCATGAATTAGAGAGCACGACTTCTTTTCGGTGGACCTGTGTTTCTGAATGTGTGAACTGTGAATTCTGCAGTTACATCTCAAATCTTATTTCATTCTGGGTTATGTAAAATAATGAGGCGCTCGTTTAGATTGTAAGTGTGGTTTGAAATTCATACCTGATTATGCGTAAGGTCAGGTGTCAGTGGAAAGATACATAATGGTAATGAGGTATGAAAATAGGGCTGTGATTTACTGTTAGAAGCCAGAAGGCTTCATGGAGATGGGTATATCAAAGGATTATGTCCTTACGGTGGTACAGTGATGCATTTATACCTCAAATTTAATGTAATGAAATGGTTTCAGAAATTGGAGCATTCTAGTTGGCGAACATGAGTTCTGAGCAGTAATGTTAATTTATGAAAAACATGCTGCTGGAAACTTGTTAGCTACTGCTCAGCAGTCTTTGAAATACTGCTTTGCCACTAAAAGGTGTAATTTATATATACGCAGGTATTTTGTCAGGGGCCGCTTATTTTAAGTTCTTGGAGTATGTAGAGCCAGTGTGAAACACTTTTCTTGGCTGTTTGCCCCATTCCTATTGGGATCCAGGAAAAAGTGCTTGTAATTTTGCAAGTGGATGTAAAACTAATATTTTCAAATGTAAGCTAGGTTTAAAAAAGTGAGCTCACACTTGGTTGGAAGTTGTTGGGAAAGGAAAAAAACCTGCTTAGAAATGTAGGGTTTTCCATCATGTTTGACAGAAACTTCAAGCAGGCTGAATGGCAAAAAGCAATCACATGCTTATTTGTTTGTTTTTTACAGGGAAGCGGCAAAACGCAAATCGTTCCCATGAGTATCATCAAGCTGTAGGCAGAATTAAGCATCTTCTCCTGCTGGAGATTAAAATAGACATTTTGAGTGGACAAGGAAGGGGAGACGCCAGGTTAGCTCAGAATTTTACCTTGTTACCACTATTAGCTTCACAGAAGTCCTCTCTGTAAGATTACCCCTTTCTATTTCATGGAGAAGCAGGGACTCTCGGCTCTGAATCTTATCTTCAGCTGATGTAAATGGCCATAGATCACGACTTTATCCAGGAGGGGCAGCTAACCACTGTGAGGTTATGCAGAAAACAACTCTCACCCACTAAACAGTCAGAACGAGGCTTTGCCTGGAAGAACTGAGGTTTCTGCCCTTTCGCTCAGATAACCAGGGACACACAGAGATCCCTGTGTGAGAGCGAAATGAAATGGCTCCAGAACTGGATGCGAGAGAGCTAATTAACCTGACCTTGCAACTGCGTGGCTTCCAGGGTGCAAGTTGCTATCCCTACATGGCACAGCGTCGCTATACATAGGCATTAACAACATCTACCCAGCTAGCTTAGCCATCCTGAACACCTCACTGCACTGAGACACGCAGACATGCCCTCAGGCTTATCGCTCCTCAAACGGGCCTGGCAAATAGCCCTCTCGTAAGCTCTATCATATTGCTAACTCTAATGCCCGCTAGCTGGCTTGGTGACTGGTAGCAATCAATCCGCAGCAGCCTGGAGGTTTAGGGCAAGCTGTAAAAACTGGCTGAGAAGCCAGTTTAGATCAAGCCAAGACCCCTGCTGCGGCAGTCAGCTTGCTCCCAGCCACTGAGCTGGCTATTTGTAAGGTGAGCTTGTGTATTTCCAGCCAACACTGTTGTCATTGCTGCGCTTGCAATGCGGGAGTATCCAGAGGGGAGAGAATACATTTGTCAAGAGGAGTTTAAAATGGAGTTTAAAATGGGAAATAGTATAAATGCACATTATGCTATTTGCAATCCTTACTAAAAGTCGTCTTAGAGCAGCGATCAGCCTCAGCTGCAGGAGCTCAAATGGGGTCTAAGGAACCTTTTTGCTACTCTCTCAAAGTCTGTATTGTGCCCTGTTTGGGCAGTATGAACCAAGTGTGGAAAAAAGGTGTGTAGGTTTTCTAGCAGTTTCATCAATACAGTTACACGGGAGAAGCCAGTACAAACCTGATTCAGGCAACCCGATTCTCCAGACAAAGAGCAAAGCAGATTATTCTTCCCCCCTGTGCGGAAGGTCTTTGTTCTATTTTTCTCAAACTTGGGCAAGACATATATTTTCTGGGGCTTTTCCTTAAAGCATGTAACCACAGTACAATACGACAAACTAAACAGCAGAAGATAGACCTTTTTTTTTCAAGTTTGTTATTAATTCCAGGTTATGTAATGGCTAACTTTTTACTTGGGAAGATTTTTTAGGATATTCCATTAAAATATAGTACTATAGGAATAAAGTATTTGTGTTGAAACATGTTTTAAATATTTCTCTAATGGCAGTAAGACACTCCAGAGTGTGACTTATGATGTCATAATTCACACCTAGTGTGTTCATTGGTCCCTTGGCCTTTGGCCTCATGCCTAACAATGCAGTTGGTAGGGAATTATTATACCATAATTCACACCCTACTGTGTCTTATTGCTTAAATAACCATACCCCCAGAGGTGTTTTAAAACTACCATTAAAGTTTATATTGTGTATCAAAATGTGTTTACAGGGCTGGGAAAATATACTATTGACATTTTGAAATGTTGAGAAGTAGTTTTAGCAGAACTGTACGGTGCTCGTAAATTAATCTCCCCAGTGGAGTATGCACCAGCAAATTACAGTATTTCTTGACTATATGAAGTCCTCTCTTGCACATTAAAAAATAGCTTAGACAAAAAAAAAGCCTTATGAATTTAATATTCTAAAGGGAAAGATTAAACTCTATGAGCATGCTAATGCCCTTAATATCCAACAAACAATCTAAAATATATTTATATTTGCAATAAAGCAATTTCAGGAAGCTGGGGTTATCATCAGATAATCCCTCCTCCACATTGTGCCTTATTGCTTAATTTTTAATATGTGAAACAAACAAAACGTCTAACAAATCAGCCAGTCCTTCAGTATAAGGTAAGAAGTATCAGAAATGTTTTACACTTGGTCTTAAAGCCAAGGGAATTCTAAAACCACAATAAAAGAAAAACAACAGCTGTTGGCATGAGAAATTTTTAAAGCTTGTAAACCTTGCTTGTTATTCCTGAAATAGCACTTGGTGTTTTTTAGTTGCTGTAGTTACATTCCTATTGCAGATTATAAGCAAAACTTTGCTTTTAAAAACTGATTTAGACGTTCGGAGAAATACATGCACCAATATTTTACAAAAGATCTGTGTACAGCATGAAGTGATAAGCCTTTTAAAAATTTGTATTGTTTACAAAACAATAGTATGATTGTTGAATAATTGAATTACATTTCCCTTTTTGCCAGTGATCCTTTTTATTCCTTCTAAAAGGTTGACTTATTTTCATTAATAACTTTATTATGTTGCAGATCCTTTGTGTGTGGGACAAAGAATTTCATTAACTTGCTAAGAAAGCGTAATAGATTGTAGCATAGTTCTAAAGTGATAGTAATAGCCATATTCATTGTAGTTTTTAATTCTGCTTTATAGTACTGAGATCCCTAGTAATCCCGTTATTCTTATCTCTATAAAGCCTGCTAATATCTGAAATGCTCTGAGGAACCTAAAATAAGTTTTGCCATTCGCTTGTGAAATAATAAATGTAATTAAACTCTGTACAAGTCAGTATTCCAGAATGGTATTAAACATTTCATGGCTTTGTGTTCTAAATATATAGTTTTTAAAAAGAAAACACCACCTGAGCATAACTATTTGACAGTATCTGAACAAAACAGAAGGGCGTATAAGAAAATGCTTTTCTTCCAGTTTTGCTGTTCTCTGTATACTCAGGATTTTCATTTTGAGAAATAAATAAATCCCAGTGCTGGCTTATACTGTGGCTGTGAGAGTTAGATCATCAGCAAAGACTGTCTGTCCTTCCACCTGTGGTTTGGCCATTTCCCCGACCACGTGAATGTATGCTGGATCTGGCTGAATCATGGATTTTGCTGTGAAGTGTTTTAGGCAAAAATTTTGTCAAGTCATGATTTGACTTTTTGAGGATTTATTACAGTAAACAAACAAAAAAAATCTTGAATTAGCAAGAAGTATTTAATTCAACCTTAAGTAGCTTGTTTTGGTTCTTATATATGTGAATAAAATCCCCTCTTAGTCCTTTCTTATTTCCTTTCCTGTCAACGTAGGTTATTTTTCAAACAGACTTTTTTAATGAAAAAAAAAGTGGTTAACTGACATTACAGCATAACGTTTAGGTTTAATTTTTTAAATGAAACATTTTCCTTTAAAAATACTGAAATAGAATATTTCAATATTTTCAACATGTTTTTCACCTTTTCTTTTCCACCTGATATTGTTTGTTGGATGCAATCGGAATTTACACATAATTTCAGCTCTTCACAGACATACTTTTTCATAAAGCCACTCATCTCTGAAAAGACCACGCTAATGTATATTTGTTTTGAGATGCAGGAGAACTGCTGAGGTCCTTAGAAGCATCAACAGGGAAAATTTGACAAGCACAGGTATATTGCCGTCATAGCAATGTTCATGTGACAGCTATTAGTTAATGCTTGTGCCCTCACTGTTTTTATCTGGGCTCTAGCCCCTTCTCAGTCTACATGGATATGTAGAATCATAGAATCATAGAATCATTAAGGTTGGAAAAGATCTCTAAGATCATCAAGTCCAACCGTCAACCCAACACCACCATGCCCACTAAACCATGT